TGTTGTATAAATTTTTATGCCACTATTGTGGATGAATGAATAGCACAAAAGAGACATTTTCTGCATAAAATTTTAAAAGTTGTCCTTTTTATTTATTATCTAGTGACTTTTTATGTTGAGATAAAAGATTGTATATTACAATCTATATTATATAAATAATGCTGTTTTTAATATAAAATTGAATACTGATGATTAGAGTGAACTAGGTGTGAACACTAAGATTATTTATAATGTATATATTTATTATAATATTTGCGTTTGCTGTATGAAGTGTTCGTGAATTAGTTTTTCTAAACTTTTGTACAGAATCGTGTACATAGTGATTATAAATATTTGGGAAATAAACTTTATTTCGTATGTATCTATTGATTCTATTCATCTAATTTATCAGCCTTTACTTATATTTCATAAGCATTTTATTGCATTTTAATTGCATTTTAATCTACTGTTATGGATTACATAAATCTTATATAAATAAAAAATTATAGCTATAGACTTAGAATTCTTTATTCATACTTTACCCAAAACCTTACAATATTTTCACAACTCGAATGCTAATGACAGTGTAACAATGTTACACATATGTATATCTATTTCAGATATCTTAGTACCTGAATATTAACTCGTAGACTTGAGAGATTATTATGTGATATACTAAATGAAAGGCCTTTTTTATACCTACTGATACTAAATGTTGAAAAATTGTCCTCTTTTTTCAATTTTTTTTAATTGTTTAAATGAAAAGAAAAATTTTCAAATATAAAGTTTACAAATTTCCGCAGTGTGAATGTGTTGTTTAATCTTATCTTATTAAATAGACGCAGTTGTGTTTAGTGAAAGTAATACTGTACAGTGCAAAGAAACATAATTACAACAGTACTAATATTCTCACTGTGCAAATTTGTATACAGTCAGTTAGAACCAATGTTGGATATTTACGTGTGTAATATAAATTGTTAATCTAAATCAAATGATAAAAAGCAGTGTCACATTATTCGTTTATCTAGTTTATACATATATTGTCCTATCAGTATCCTTTTATTTATTATAAAATTATTTATTTTTATTCTTTTACATAAATTTTAGATCTTAAATTTAGATATTAATATAAGTCTGACGCTATTTAAATATTTATCAACAATACAGTACAGTATTAAAAATAAAATCATTTTAATGTAATTTAAAAAATGAGATTAACTGAAAAATTATTTTAATTTTTTTTCTTTTACTTATACCTCTAAAAACGAATTTATTCTTTTATTTTTAATTCTTTACAACGTAAGAATTTTTTTTTATGAATGTCGATTTAAACAATCGTTCAAAGAACAATGCTGAGATACTATGTATATAAATGTTTTGCATATTTTAGTTTATATATATTTCATATTATATATAGACTGTGCGTAAATAGCCAACATTGATGTAATGAAGCCTTCATACCGTTTCTTTTTTCAATCTTTTCCTAATTAAATTTAATTGAAAAAGTTGTTAGTGAATCATTTAACATTGTATTTAACATCATATGTCCTACGAAATGTATTAAATTATATTTTTAAGATGGATATTCAATCGAAAATATTCCATTAAAATAAAATTTCGCTAATTTTTAGGGTTTTTTGTATATCATGCAGAGATTTTATTTGAATACAATTGATTCGCCATGAAACGCAATGTGCAATATGAGTACTCGCCAGAATATAATTCCACATACTTAACATTATCGATATTATTTACAAGTTCTACGTTAAAAATAAGAAATAATGTATCTTTTTGTACAGAATATATGTATAAAGGCAACGCGAAGTAATGTACAAAATTGTGAACAATTCACTGGCAACGCATTTTGCATATAAGCCAAGTATTTATAAATATCATATAAATGAGGCTGAAACTGACGAGAAATTCATTCACGATTAATTGCAAGAACACAATCTAAATCATATAACAATAATAACAAATGGACTCAATATTTCTAATTTAAAAATAAAAATGCCATGTGCAAGTAGTATAGATAGTATAGACGCTGCATATATACTTGCATATTGTCAATCTTTTATATACATAGTGCCCCGAAATTCATAAATCAAAAATACATCATAAGAATTTTCGAAAAAATAAATTATAAGAGTATTTGTAATTTGCCATTTCGAATAATTTATGAGACATTTAATTTTTGAGACATAAATATTAAAAAACTTAATCAGTTATAGCTTATCATTAAACAACCATTAAACTTTTAATCTATAATTTAGTCTATATAGTTTAATATATAATTAACCTGCTTTTAACTTTTATGTCTTAACAACTACTTTATGAAATTGCAAATGGCAAAAATTATAATTTTTTTTTCGAGAACTTTTTTTGCTGTAATGTATATATAAAATTATTCTTCACATACACATTATCCATACAGATAACGAAACTGCAAACTTATTTCATCTCTCTCTCTCTCTCTCTCTCTCTCTCTCTCTCTCTCTTTCTCTTTCTCTCGCGTATTAGGAAAATATAATTTGACTCTTAAAATAATATTGCAATTGATATATGAAATTTATTAGAAACTCACTTAAGTAAAAGATTACACAATCACATTTTTTTACCTCTAAATAATATTAATAACTTACAATATTAACGCAATTATCACATTAGCGATTCTATGAAAATACTTCATCTAACAAATCAAATTAAAATCTTTAATATGGAATGCTCGAATATATCTACTACACTATTTTGCTAGTTTCTTTGTTTTAATTTTTGTTATATTGTCTTTTTTGACATAATTGCAACGCAAACTATAAAATATATGAAATATATCTCGATAAATTAGAAAAAATTCCTCTACATAAATAGTTAATTAATAATCTAGTTAGGCATATCTTACAATATCGTATGTCATGTCAGAAATATAAACACACACATATATACATATATATACATATATACATATATATATGTGTATA